AAAAAATTAGCTGGGCGAGGGGGCGGGCGCCTGTAGTCCCAGCTACTCGGGAGGCTGAGGCAGGAGAATGGCAGGAACCCAGGAGGCGGAGCTTGCAGTGAGCCAAGATCGTGCCACTGCACTCCAGCCTGGGTGAAAGAGCAAGACTCCGTCTCAAAAAAAAAAAAAGAAGGAAGTCTCTTGTGTGTCCACAGCAAGGAACAATTTTACATCGTGTCTCAGTGCACACACAAATACATACTGGTGCCGAGTTCCTTATCTGACATTCCATAATTTTCAGATCCCTGCAAACCACATATTTTGGGGGTAGCTGACTTCGGGAGTAATCCTGCTCTGTACTGACTTGAGTTCTTTATAGGCTTACTATTATTTTTTACATTTAATGTGAATATTTGCTTGTTTCACTGTTGAAACATGCATGGGTTTGATTACAGGGAGCAGTCCAGCCTCTGCTGGCAATGGTAAGGAATATACCATATGCACCCCATGTCCTTTCTAAAATAGTGAAAATTGGAAATGCCTAAACACATCTGGATTCCAGGAATTTACCTTAAGGGATATGTATTTGAAATAACTCACAAAAGCAATACTCACCCCTGCTATGCTTGGTACGCTTTGATATTTTCAAATTGATTTTCTTTTTAACATGCTGCTCTTGAACCAATGATTTCATAACCCAATGATGTGTTGAAACTCACATTTTGAAGACAAGGGTATAAAGTGTTTGACACCCAACAGGCACGTGGCAGATAGAAGTGATCACTGGGATGTTTCCACTTCCTTGGCCTGGAAGGCTCACTTTGTGTTGGTGCTGAGCTGAAAGGGATTCATTCCTCCCCAAAGCACCGTGGCACTCCCCTGGTGTTTCAGTGTTCTCAGGCTACCATGGTAAAATATCATAGGCTGGGTGACTTCAACATCTGGCTTTTCTTTTCTCACAGATCCAGAGGCAAGAAGTCCAAGGTGAAGGTGCCAGCAGGGTTGGAGTCTGGGGGGGACTCTCTTGCTGGCTTGTGGAGGCTGCCTTTGTGCTGTGTGCTCACGTGGCCTTCTTGTGTCTCTTTCTCTTCTTATAATAGGACACTAGCCCTCTAATAGAATTAGAGCCCTACCTTTGTGATCTCATTCAGTCTTAATTGCCTCCTTAAAGACCAGATCTCCTAATGTAGTTACCCGAGTTGAGGGCTTCAGCATATGAATTTTGGGGATACACAATTCCCTTGATAGCACTGATGATTCCATCAAACATATCCCACACCACAGCTGTCCAGGAAAATTAACATGTAAGCATCTTTTATGTAATGGCTGTTATGCACTCCCACACTTTCCTCCAACCTTATCCTTTCTTCTTTCCAACTAGAGAGCAGCATCTTTATTGAGGATGCCGTTAAATATTTCCAGGACAAAGTGAGCACACAGAGTCTGATACTCCTGCTGACTAATGATGAAGCCTGGAATGAATTCGTGGCTACTGCTGAACTAACCAGGTAACCTGCATGGGTTTACCTCCATTGGACGCCCCAGTGATGCCACCCAGATGTCCCCTGGGCTAGCTTTCCCTGACAGACACACCTCCTCCAGGCAGCACCCTCTGCTGGGCGTTAGGATGACCTCAGCACTCCAGGAGGAACATTTCCTCCCTGTCCTTCGCTGGCAGTGAGTAGCCTCAGGCTGAGGGGACAGGAAGCCCACAGGGACAGGGTCATTTCTGTCATCTGCTGGTCATGGGAACTTTGTGAGTTACTTTCTCACTTTCAGCCTTTCTTCATCCATGAAGTTTTATTGTGAGAAAAATGAGATCATGCATGTAAAGTGCTTAGCATAATGACTAACACATAGTAGGTGCACAGTTAACATTCATATCTAACAACCTTGAAATAGAACAGGGTTAAGGATCTTTCTTCCTGAAGATGGGAGCTCAGCAGGACTTCCTTTAGGACAAGTCAGAAAAATCTTGACCTAACCAATGCGTGTTCCTGGGGATGCTGGCTGGAGCATCTGAAGAATTCCATAAACACGGCAAGACCCTTCTGCTGGTCCAGGATGCTGAGAGGCTGGAGTGGAGTTGCACAGCGCTGGGTCTCTTTCCGGTTCTGTCTGTGCCCAGTCCCTGGGCTCTAGGCTTATGTCATGCAGACTGGGAACTGTCATCAGCCCATAGGAATAGCAATTCAATGTGATAGGAGTATAGTGAAGGCCTTAGAGTGAACTCCAGGTCAAAGGTGGGGAACCAAGACCAAGATCCTGCCCAAAGGCCCAGGGAGACCAGAGCCAGGAGTCAGGATGGAGAAAGAGTCAGTCTTGGTTGTAGAACAAGTGGGAAGTTTGGTACACCAGGGCTGGGACTAGGCAAGAGAGGCACCAAGGGCTTGAAACTTAAAGAGGTCATGAACTTGCAGAGGACATGTGAGTGGGAGAGGGATATTTCTTCCCTGTCTAGATGATCCCAACACTCATGGACATAGAAGGTCATGGTTGCCTGTGTGTCTCACACCCTGCCTGGGAACTGGCAAGTTCCGGGCTACCGTTTGAGACCTTCTTCTCTTCTACACAGAGAAACCCCTGACAATGGCAAGCAGTATGCCTTAGTGACCATTTCCATAGTAGAATAAGTTGCTGCCAATTTGTGTAATTTCAGGGGTACTGAGTAGACTGATAAATCGCTAACCAAGAAGGAAAACACTTCCTTTACCCTCTTGTCCAAATGCAAGTCTTTTCAGCGTTAGCAATTTATATAGATGGTTCTGAAAGTGTCCCGAGTCTTCTAGAGGTTCCATAAGATTGCACACGGCCTTGGCGTGCGCACAGGTGAAGCTGTCACTGCTAAGGCATCAGTTAGGCTGGTGACATCTGCGAGTGAGACCTGGAAGGTTGGGAGTGCAGGGGGTAGGTCAGCAGGCGGCAAAGTGGCTGGACAGTCCACGTGGAGCCAGAATGAATACCCAGATCTCCCACTCCAGTCAACTGGGGCAGTGCCCGGACCCAGTAGCCTTCAGCCAGAAAGTGAAAGGGCATGAGGCCTTGGAAGGGAGCAGACGCCAGGCAAAGTGATCTCCTGTCTCTCTGAGGTTTGGTTTTATTTGAATTCAAAGTACTCAGAGGCAGCCAGACGGCAATGTCTGAGGGCACCTTACCTTTGACACCACCTGCAAATTAATGGGGGTTCCTAAAATCGTCCTTAGATTTTATAATTCACTAGAAGGATTCATATAACTCACTAAAAACTGCTATTGCACGATTGTGGCTTATCACACAGAAAGAACACAGATTAAAATCAGCCTAAGGAAGAGACACACAGGGCAGAGTCTGGGAGGGCTTCAGGTGTGAAGCTTCATTGTCCTCAGGATGCTGTGATCTCCTGTGTCAATGTGGGACAAGACACATGGGGTGTTGCCAACCAGGGAAGCTCACCCAGTTAAGGAAACATTCCTGTGAATTACATTAATCAGGAAGGAAGCCTTTATTCAGGATGGTTGTTACAGGGGAGGGAGACTGAGCCCAGCTCCAAATACAGTAAAGACAGAGAGGGAGTCACAGCCAACACCAGGGTGAGGGGCAGGAGATGGAACAGTTCTGACAGGAGACAACAGAGTGGGATGTTCCTGCCAAACTGGCCTAACAGGATTCAGGCTAAAGGCAGATCAGACACTCACCCATCAATGGTGGGAGTGAGGAGCATGATCAGATAGCAAAGGGTGCTCAGACAGCAAGCAGGGAGGATGCTCCCTAAACTGACAGGGCGATTCTTGCTGAACTGGGCGGTGTAGGACCAGAAAGCAGTGGGTGGGTGTGAAAGGCCAAGGTTGGCGCCTAGTGAAGAGGCTCAGAAGAGCCCAGCTGGAGTTTGATCAAACAGAAAGTCTTTCTCAACCCATGCCTTAGTGTTCAGAATATTTGCTGGGGCTGGATCACAAGCTGCCCTCATGGCTGACCTGGAGTCTCCAGTCCCTCCCTGAGGTCTAACCCCTTTAGTACACATGTCCTCTGCAGGTCAGAAAAGATACCAAATAGCGCCAAACTCCATCATCCGTCACATTGCTATACTGTCCCATGGCCAAATCATCAGGGAAATAAAGATGTTCCTACCAGGCAGGACACTCCAAGAGCCTGGACCCAGGAGCTGAGGACAAAGGGAAGGTCTCTCTTTGGGAAAAGTTCATGCTTCACTTTGCTGCCATCCTGGGAATAAGGTGTCTTTGTCCCACTCTCACTGTTCTTTGTTCATCTGCAGAGTTTTCCCCTCTCCAAACACTTTGGCAGTCACAGTGTTGACCTGCCCTTGAGTGAGGAGGCATCTTTATCAAACACCTACCACGAAAGAGCATCTGAGATGCCTTTAAGATATTTATTTCCATATGGAATAAGTACTGAGGGGTAT